AGAAACAACTCGCGCAAAAGGCCCTCCGACAGCACTACCCAGAATATGAAATTGTCAGCAATATTGGCTCAGGGCACAACTGGAAATGCAGGGGGATTGTTTCCCTTCTGGAATGAATACACACAAGAAGAATCGAAGAAGTGGTGGTTACCTGAAAGGTTTGAGTTTAATTATTTATTTGCTTTGATTTATTATTATTTTTTTTTATTTCACTAACTTTTCTATTAGGACTTATTGTGCCATTTCGGATTCGAGCTTGTGGAATGATTCTTTGATAAGAATGGGACTCAGCTCGTGGTACTCAGTACAGATGTTAGTGCCGAAAGTATTGAAGTTGGAGAACTTGCAAAAGACTTCCTTGCAATCGTCAAATTGTTTGTGGCGTGACATAATGGATTACATTCAGCCACAAATCACAGAAGGAGAAGAGATGCTGCCCAAGTGATTTAAGAGTTCCAAGAAGGAAGTGAAGAAACTTCCAGCAGGCAAAGTACAACGGATTCGCATTTATCCCAACCAGCAGGAGCGGTTGAAACTCAGAAGATGGATGGGAACAGCACGATGGACATACAATCGGTGTCTTACCGCGATCGAAAAAGAAGGTATCAAACGAGAAAAGAAGGATCTACGCGTACTATGTTTAAACGCCAAAAACTTCAATGATACCAAACTCAAATGGATCCTCGAAACTCCCTATGACATTCGTGATGAAGCAATGAATGACTTGCTTAAAGGATTTTCTTCCAATTTTGCTGCTAATCGTAAAAATTTCAAGATGAAGTTCCGTTCCAAAAAGGATTCTCAACAGTCTATCGCAGTCTTATCAAAGCATTGGGGTAAATCTCGTGGTGAATATTCATTCCTTCCTAAAATCAAGTCATCAGAACCTCTTCCAAAAAAACTTGAATATGATAGCCGTCTTGTTATGAATCGGCTTGGTGAATATTATCTTTGTATACCCAGACAACTTGAAATGCGTGCTGAAAACCAAGGTCCTATATTTAAAAGGTTTTTGTCTATTTTTTTATTATTTATATTATCTATTAATAGGAAGGATCAGGAGTGATTTCTTTGGATCCAGGTGTACGTACATTTATGACCGGTTATGATCCAAGTGGAATGGCTATTGAATGGGGGCAAAAACGACATTGGCCGCATTTACAGATTATGTCATGCATATGACAAACTCCAAAGCAAGCGTGATCAAATTCATGGAAAAAAAAATAAGCGAAAACGTTACAGGTAAAATTTATTAATCAATTAATTATAATATTTTTTATAATTTAATGTATTTACTACTTTTAATTGTAGATTACGTTGTGTTATGTTACGAATTTATAAAAAAATCCGCTGTCTTGTAAATGATTGTCATTATAAGCTGGCTAAATGGTTGTGTGAAAATTATTGTATAATATTACTACCTGAATTTTGCATTCAGGAAATGGTCCAATGTGAATAATAACATATTGTTTCCAAGACTGCTCGAACCATGTGTACATGGTCACATTTTCGCTTTCGACAACATTTGATCCATAAGTCACGTAATTATTCATGATGTTAAATCGTAATGTGTATAAAAGAATACACAAGCAAAACTTGCAGATTCTGTGGTTATATTCATAAAAAACTAGGTGGATCCAAAGAATTTTGCTGTCCTCAATATAAAATAAATCTTGATAGAGATATAAATGGTGCTTGTAATATTCTTTTACGATATCTTACAAAAAAGGAAAAGGAGTCAGCTTAGGCTGGCGTGGGAGCTTATTCCCTTACAGGACTTGTTATTGCTTAATTTAAACTTTAAACTTTACATAACCGTATTAATAATTAGTAAGCTCAAGTAATACGAAAATGTGGTTTTATTCCAGAATGTTCGAAATCACGGTAACGGTTCATTTTTGTGGGAAAAAAAAAAAATGATACATAACGCAAGCGAATTTTTTAGCGGATCCTAGTTGAACATTGTAAATTATATTTTAATAAAATGTAGGCAACAAAGCTTTGTTATTGCAAATTTATTAAATCGAAACATCTGGAAACGCGTGTCCAAGCGCAGCAATGTGACACGGTAAACTAACATTATGGGAATTGAAGGTCTAACTGCCATTTTTAGTTAAGAATAAGTAAGCATTCGGAAATACTTTATTTAATCAAAATAAAATTATATTAGCATTGATTACCAACAGGAGGAAACGGGTTGATTTCACTCAATACTAAAAACATTTTTTGGTAGGAGAGATAACCCCTGATAAATCCCTATAGAAAAGAAAAGAAAAGAAATTATGAGCATGATTTTTGCGTCAAACATGGAAAAAATAAGGTTGGTGTTAAATTTCACCTTTCTAATCATTTCAGCCATAAACCAAATAACTTCAGTCATTTCCACATTTAATCCAACAAATTTCAACGCCTTATGAAATTTATCAAGAGGAATCCTTGATTCGCGATCATTAAGAATATAACTATTATTAAAATAAATAAATAAATAATAAATTAGTTTTACTTTTGAATTTTTGAAGATTAGTAGTGTCTTTATCTAATAAGGGTACTAACACTTTCTTAAATAAAATACGAATCGAAATTTCACGAGCAAGTTCGACTGTTAGAAACGTTTCATAGGCAACTAAAATCTTTTCCTTTTGTAACAAGGCTTCTTCAAACTTTTTAACGTTGCCACTTCTAATAGCTTCAATAAATGGCCCATACAGCTCATTCGTTGTTGGATATCTTGCTAGTAATTCTCGTGATGGTAAAACACCTCGAATTAACAAAACAGGAATAAGGTAACGAAGGATAAGTTCTTTATTTCTCTTTGCATTTCTTGGACACTTTTTAAATGCTGCTACAAACTTTTCTTCAGCCTAATTATTATTTTATCACGAAAATTTCTTGTATGATTAGTAATTCTTAGTAATTATGATAATAAATATAAATATTACCTGTTGATATGCAGCTTCCAAAAATAAGAGCCTACCATGATAATACAAAAAAGTAACTTGATGAGATTTTGGATATTGCCCAAGGTTTGGTAAATCCTGGACTTTTATTGATCTCAAAATATTTGTACATAAATTTCTTTGTCTAACCTTTTTTAAACAGAATAATGATATATCGTTTAAAAATTTAAAATACATACATATATCGTATTTTCTATTACCTTGAAATAAGTTTTAAATGCAAATCCCGCCATATAATAAACTCCCCATTTACGTGAGGTAGTGAGAGGAGACCTAAAGTAATTTAATCAAATAGCTCAAAATAAAGTCGATGATGATAAAAAGAAAAAAATGAAAATTACAGTTAAAATTAAAATCAAATAAAACCTATCCGTAATACAGGTCGAGAATCCTTTGTTTATATTTCGAGCTGCTTCTTCTAAACATTTTGGATCTTCGTCATTATCTATTAAATAATCATCCGCCTTGGCAATAAAAAAAAATATTAGCAATTGACAAAATTAACATTAATAATGCTGTTATTACCTTATCTGCGAGTTCTCTTGTTTCCCAACAAATCATATATAAAACAGGTAGAATCCAACGCGTCAGATTTGACGCTAGCCTAAAAAAAGTACTATCTTAATCATTTAGTAAGAATAATTCTTGTATCTTGTATATAATAATAAATTATGAACCAATTAAGGATACACAATCATATTATAATGTTCTCTATAAGCTTCATAATAATTATTTTTGTAAATAGCTAAAAGAACTTTGAAATATTGTAAAACAAGTTCATCCCAGGGACTTTCCATTAATCGATGAGTCTCCAATTCCAGTTTTTTGGGCTAATTATTGAAATAATCAATAAAAAGATTCTTAAATCGGTGAAAAGGAGAAAACAGATTCGCTTACATTAAGTTGTGAGAGTTTTAGAGTGAGATCTTTAGCGTAAGGGGCAGCAATAGATAAAAGTACTTTAACCCCGTCTCCATCTTCATTAAATACACAATTTTTGAAACTGTCATAATATGTTTTCATATTCATTTTTCTAACAACTCGAAATCGTTTTAAATGAAAGATTCAAACCCGTGTGTATATAATCTAATTTACAAGAATGGCATAATGATACTATCAAAATTTAATATATATATTATTTATTTATCAGAAATAACATGGTTCAAGCAGCGTAGCGCAGAGGAAGCGCGCGGGGCTCATAACCCCGAGGTCGGAGGATCGAAACCTCCCGCTGCTAATGTATTTTTTTTTTTTTTGGTTTTAGGTTTATTTCCTTTTTTGGTCAAAATTATTCCCCTGAAATTCTGTGATTTGGCCAGAATTATGCAATGATAAATCGGGCTAAAATTTTGAAAAATTATCATCCATATTCTGTGTAATCCTGTGAAACACAGAAAATCATCGTCCCTGCCCCGCAGTGAATATATATCTGTTAGATACAAATTTTCCCAAAGATCATTTTTCACTTTTTATAAAATATGAGTTGGTTAGTTATTCAATAAAGATAAAATACACCCCCTGAGACTTTTATTAAGCCGACTTTTTTTTTTTTTTTTTTTTTGAAAATATAGGTCAAGTTTCAAAAAAACAGTTGGTCGTACTGGAACAAAGGTATTCGGATGTTACCTTATATTCTTTCAAATCATTTTCAAATACTAAATTATTTTCGTTTCTTTAATATTTAGATATCACAAAAAATTGGTACTATTGAAAAGACAGTAAGTTTAACAATATACATACACGTATACATGCTTTCCTTGTTGGATTAAATTTTTTTTTTATTTTAACGTTAAGGTCGATGAAAATTTCGATATAGAAGAACAAAGATTTAAAAGGTGCGTAATATTCTAAAATTTGAACGATAATTTATTTATACAACTATTTATATACATAATTATGTTTAATTAGTCTTGAATCAAAATGTGAAAAACTTCATAAAGAAGCTAAAGGATATTTGGATTCAATGAGAAGCAAGTACTAATAAAGTTTTTTTTATTTTATTTTAAATTTGAACTAATCTAAATTTTATTTGATTGCACAGATATGTCCAGTGCGCAATTGAGAATTGCTGAGACCATTGGTCATTTTTACGAAGATTCAACCGATAAATCATTGGTTGGAAATAAATATAAAGATGCTATAGTTAAATTAGATGAAAATTGTCGAAGGTTCCTGGTGGGTTTAAACTTATCAGAATGATTTAATTCTATCATTTTTTTCTTTCTTTAAAAAAAAAAAAGAAAAATTCGTATTAAAATGTATTATTTCATAGGATGAACCTTATCGACAAACTGTTACCGAACCTATTTTACGCTTTTGTACTTATTTCCCGGGCATTAACGAGACTATTAAAAGACGAGATAATAAACTTTTAGATTACGATAGACAGCGCGCGAAAGTTCGTAAATTGGTGGATAAACCATCGGATGATCCAAACAAATTACCAAGAGTAATGTCACAATTTAATAATTTTCTTTTTTTTGTTTTCCTTTAAATTTTCGTTATTAACAATGATTTTTTTATTTATTTTATATTTAAGGCTGAACAAGCAGCCAACGAAGCAAATGAATTATATGAAACACTCAATAGTCAGCTTTGCAAAGAGTTACCTAATTTAATAGATCTTCGAGTTCCTTATATAGATCCCACATTTGAGGCTTTTGTTAAAATTCAATTGAAATTCTGTCAAGAAAGTTATGATAATTTAAATAGGTTGCAAGAAGACTTTCCTCCTAGCAATGAGAGACAAGTTGATGCTAAGGTTGAGGCTGTTTTACAACAAATGCGTGATTTAGCTATTTGTGGAATGGGTTAAGGATTGAAGAAATTATTTATTGGTAGTAATAATTAATTTAATTTTTTTTTTTTTTTTTCATTGACCCCCAAACAAATATTCACTTATGTCAAAGTAAAGTTTTTTTTCCTAAAAAGAAAATTGACGAGCTTTTAAAATCAACTTTTTTTTTAAATGCCTTAAATTATTAAAATTAAAGCTAAAGAACGTTATTACAAAAACTTGCGTGTTACTTAGACGGTCAGCATATCGAACCCCTGAGAACTCTCATATTCATACATGTCTAATGCTACCTCACAACTTTCTTTGACAACCCTTTCTTGATCATCTTTGAATCTTTTCAACACTGGTAAACATTCAGGCGTTGCAACAGATCCCAGTGCTTCAGCTGCTTCATGTCTAACCATATATAATTCATTCATATTCTCCAGTGTTTTAATCAAGGCAGGAACACTTGCTGGACTTCGCATTTGTCCAAAAACATAAGCAATCTCATGTCTAAATAAAGCAGATGAATCATTAAAACCTTCATCAAAGCGACACGCGATAGTTATTAGGATAGATAAATCTTTATAACCATTGAAGATCAAAATTCGATCGACAAGGAAATAACATCACGTGTCAAAATTCTAATTGGTTGGTAATTATAATAATGTAAATTATATTTCAAAAGAAAAGGTAAAACAAATGAAAATAAATTCGCAACAGATCGTGCACAGTAAATATTAAAAAATCTCATTAAAATTAATCATCAAGCTCAACAAAGCGAGGTTCTGACGAAACT